TTTTAATGTCCGTCTTGGCGTCTGTCTGTGTAGTTTTCCACCCTATATAACTTTATACGACCCCTACCGAACCGCTTTGGCACCACCGTCGCCGCCACCGCGTCCCTCTCTCGCCGCCGGAACAAAATATTATTTGCCAAAAACCACCGCCACCGCCGCCACTGAAAACACTGTCGGAGTGTTGTCGGGTGAGAAATTTCACGCAACTCCAAAGTGGAAGAGGACCCAACCACTCTCGCCGTATACGACGCCGCCGCCAGCGACTATTATACGAAACCCGCCGAAAAAAGGCAACGAGCGTAATTCGATTAAAAAATGTCAGCCAACCGTGAAAACGAATTTCTGAGCACCGGTAACGCACCTCCAGGACGTTCTGCTTTTATTCGTCTCGAAACCCCGTCCTGGACGCTAATTTGTGCAGCGTCCATATACGGCTGGTCTTCGCGTCGATTGACGCATAATAATTACCATTTAATTACACCTTTTTAATATATACGTTCCACGCGAAAATTATGTCTGATTTAACGAATTATGTGTATTGTACAAATTCGAAATTTGTAATATTATAATAAAGAAGATTTAAAAAAAAATACGTTACAAATTATGTGGTTCATCGATTGGCAGTCGGGGAAGTTTTTTATTTAAATGATTCGATAACACGTTTTGGTTGGTGTACGGCCTATTCAATGGACATAATAAACATATTATAACCTATTACTAACGGGAATCACTAAACGTGAATAATTTTAAATACCACGCTGTATAAATGTCTTTTTTTTAAACCTTTGAATTGATTAAATTAATATACTAAGACAAAATAACTATGAAATAATAAGAAATTATGTTACAGATTTTATATCAACTATTCATATTTCATACGAATTTTCCAATATCAGTATATCACTGACAAACGTTATTGAGTAATACATCGGTACACATCGGTTTAATAATATAAGATTAAAAATGAAAAGATAGTAGAAGTTACTCATAGTAAACTTTTACTTTACTTAACTAAACCTACTTAAAATATAAAATTAAATAAAGTCACTGAATAGTTAACAATATACTTTTTTATAAATTGGTCAAAAATTATTTGACTTATTTCAACTTAAAATTTAGTTATTTATTAATATGTAATCATTTTTCAAAAAATGCAAATGCGTCTGAGTGAATAGATAACTAAGTTTAATAAACGTAATGGTGTACTGCACAGTTTTACCGAAATTATCCACTACACATTCAGATACCACTTTCTGAATAATTACAAGATAAATATAACAATTTCATAAAAAAAAACCAATACCGATCACATGTATTTTAGTGTATTTAAAATGCAAATTATAATTAGTTAAAAAATAAAAAAGCTAAAATATTTTGACCATCGTAATTATTTATTATTTTATGATAAATTCTTACTTTGGCAATAGAAATTTGAAATTTGAAATTTGAAATTTGAAATTTGAAATAGTTGGCATTGCATCATCTACGTCTAATCAATATAAACAAAGGTGTAATGAGAATCGTGCCAAAATGTGAACTCTCCGTCTTACCTTATCCAGAACAATAAATCGCATCGGATTATCTATATATGTTATTATAGATACATTGCCAAAGTTCAAAAAGCACATAATATACATATTATTACAATTCAAAACAATGAAAAGAACAATGTACATTTAAAACTAAATGAGAGGTAGGATCAAAATATGAATATTATTATTACCAACATTATAATAGAATATCTGAATAGGTATGTATAGGTATAGGTATATGTATAGGTAGGTATTTATCAAAAAATTAGTTTTAGAGAAAGTTGTGATAATATCACGAACGATTAGTTTAATTAAATTTAATCGGTTTTTTGTTAAACAATTTTAAAGTTAACAGTTGTTTAATTACGTTGGAACACAGCTATTTCCACAAATTCTCGGTGATTAAAAAATTAACATATTTCTGCAATAAATCCCTTACCTACGGTGCATATTAATTCTCCGAGTTGAAGGTAGGTGTAATAAATTGTAATTTGAAAACCATATTTATATTCCGGTATTTATATTTGAATATTTCACTGTGACACCATCATTACCATCATTTATAATTACAAGCTTTCACCCATTCACAAATAACACGAAAATTCAAGAGAAGATATTTTTTTAAGAACAGCACATCGTGTGGCTGACATTATACATAAACACATTAGTGTTTCAGTGGTTGGACGACAAAAGTAACAGAAAAGATTGGTTCGAGTGCATCGCGTCTAAGGAAGGAATTGGTACAGTGGACGCGATGATTTGTTACAACAGCACTCGAGCCGACATGTAAATACAATATAGACATATACTATGTCGGACGTGGTGACGAGGGTGGTTGGGTGGTAGGGTGGGTGGATGTATAATGCGATTTAGGGTTAATTGCCACGAAAGGCTAAGCCGCCCCTACCGCCAAATTATTACACCGATGTCGCGTGACGGCGGCGTGCCCTCTCTCCCCCCGGCGACGACCGCTGACTACACCGCTCACGCACCGCCGTTTGACGTTTTGTTGTTTACCCGAAATCCGTGGAACTCGCGTCTCGCATATATAATAGTCTAACATTATATATTTATACCACTCCCTGTAATGCCAGTCGATATTATTACACTATTGCATTTACCTCCGATCGAAAATGATAGATTTGCATATTTTTTTTTAGAAATTATAGGTATTATAGGTATAGGAACCGTGAATTTTTATATTAGTTTAAAATGCTCATTATTATACTATTTAATATTAATCTATTACGTGGTTAATACAACAATACCAGAGTTAATATACATAACCTAACAGTCGTGCATATAGGGAGAGAGTGTTAGGAGTTCACCCTCCGCCCCGAAATTAATTCCTATATACTCCACTGCAACCTAATATAAATTTAACATATATGAGATATACAATAATAAAATATACACACGTGAAACACATTATTAATATCAAGTTAAGATCGTCCCCCACAATATTATACAAAGTGTGAGTGAAAACATACAATATAATTCAACTTCTAAATAGCCTAACCTAACCTAACCTAACCTACCTAGTACCTACCTATACGCAGTACTAATATAGCGCGTTTAACTTTAAATGTCTATAGTAATATAATTAATTACCTACTATAACTGAGTACAAAAATGATTAAACTTTGTTGAAAGATTGTTTTTAATTTTTATATTAACAATTATTTGATTATATATGATCAATATGATAGTCATATACTTCGATGATTATACAATTCTATATGTCGGTAGTTAAGTTACGAACTCTTTGATTTTTTCGGTTCCAATTCAATTTTATTTTATTATTTCTATTAATTAATTTTATATATAATATTATGTATTTATATCATACAATTCGTGTGAAAGAAATGAAAACAAAAGAAATAATTTTAATAAGTAAATTTTACTTTTCAGAATTAAGTAAAATATATTACTTGAATTTCTAACGTAACAATAAAGTTCATAATTATTAAAACATTTGTTATTAAAATCATAAAACTATATGTTATAATTTATTACATTTTTTTATTTGTGAAAGAAGTATTTAAAATAAACTCATATTTATTTTGTAAGATAATGTGTTTAAAATTTAAAATTATATTAAATACCTATGGCTCATTATTGTACTTTGTGTACCTATTTAATATATCAAACGAGTATAATTTTTTAGAAATTGTTCATAAAATATACTATAAATTAAATAAAAAAAATACAGCTATAATAAGTATGGTTTGATTACTTTTAAACATCAATCAGTTTTTAATTGAAAAATTGCCGTATTTTTCGTTGGTGATTTTCTCACAATAACTTTTAAGTAACTACCTCCTATACAAAAAGTGAATTAGTAAACAGAACAATAAATTAATGTAAGCAAAATAAAACACATACAATTTATGGTTTCTGTTAAATGTTTTGAATTTTATGTCAATTCATCCAAGTAAGATGCAAACACGAGTGTTAGAGCCAAATATTCAATAAATGTGTTAATCGACACGGCGCAGTGGCCAGTGGCCGAACTCAATGACGCTACGTGATTGAGAGTAAGCAACAGACGCTGCCACTAGTTATCGGATTGGTGATCACCCGGGTTCGTAGTACCCAAAAACTTTTCCACATATACACTAGTTCCTAACCGACCATACCAACCGTTCCAACCGTACTGTACCAACCCTACCAACATACAGGCTAAGGACCTCAGTCGCCGAAGCCTTAAACCAGATACAAAATAAAAGAAATATACAGTCATACAATTATATGAGGGTGAAGTATGATGGTAAAATTAAGGTTTTCCAAGAAATCCAGATATGCTTGAACAAGATCTGACTATATATGAGATGCAAAGTAATAAATTACCAATGGGTATATCACTATTCGATTATAGTAATTATTATAATAATATCACGTACCTGCCTATATTTTTTTATATAAATTATGTTTTTTTATACGATTTTTATTTATATTTTTACTATTTTTATTACTTTTTATGTTTATTATGATTCAACATTTTTGTTAACGTTTTTAATATAAAATTACATTATTATGTTATGCGTTCTATAATAATATGCTCTATGGACAATGAAAGTTATATTATGAATCATCTACACGCTGTCCTTGTGCAATGATACACCTTATAGAGGTCCCGAGCAGCCGTTATTGTTGTAAGACCTATTGGTAGTTTAGTGAATGAAAATAAAAGGTCAACCATAATATCTATAGGGGGAAATAATATATTGAGTCAAAAGGGAGAATCAGTAAAACCTTTAGACAAAAAAAAAAATGGTTTTATTTTTCATAGTACAGTAAGGGGAGATAGTTTACTTGCATGTCGACGGTAATGATTCGAAAAATCGAGAACATTGTTGCGTTATGTGTACACAAAACATTATAATAGCTAAAAAAAATTCCACAGTTAAATTCATTCTTTTTGATTGGAGTAGTTGACAAAGGGCAAAAGCTACTACTTCAACACGTCTACTTGCGGCCTTTGGTCGTCAGAGCTCGCCAGAAAGCCCTCATTTCCGCCACGTCAGGCTGTATCCGGACTATGTGTGCACGATACGCTGACTGAAAAAACAGTTTATCATTCTTTTGATAAATTTGACTTTAGAGGAAAAGTGAAAAATGAATTCGAAAATTGATCAATTGTATGCCAAACAAAAATAATATATATAATTATAAAGTGGTATGGGTGTATTATTTATAAATTTGTTTATTATTTTTCCTTTTATAATGATTATCTTCTGGCAAACATACAAGTATAAATATTCCAAAACAATAATATTTAGTTCAAAACAAACCAAATTTCCCTAATATAATAATAGTTTTGTTTAGTTAATATAATTTATTATACTCCCTGGCTCTTATTATACAAACATTTTTGTAATTCGCGTTATTTTATATAATATATTAAATGTTTATCATGCCTAAGAATTTAATTTTATCAAGTATTTTCCGACAGTATTTCTAGTAAAAATGAATCAAATATTGAGCGGTTATTTTTTATTTATTGTAAAAGAAAATTGTAAAACTTATAATTGTATAACTATTATTTGCTTAAAACTTAATTGAGATTCTAGTTTAAGACTTATGATCCAAAAAACTGAATATAATATGTATACCTGTATAATAGTAGCCGCTTGATCTCGTGATACACCCCAAGAAAATGTATCTGGTATTCGGAACAAGTCATTACTAACCACAGCAAATGGCATACTACAAACAGATGTCCTTTTGCGTTCTGGATACAACGGATTATTATACCATAGATCTTCTGCTAGTCTATTCATGAAAATTTTTTTAAATTTATGATTATAACTTATAGCATCAGCCCTATGTGCCTCACTAAGCACGCGGACCAAAGATGGGTATAATGAAGACTCTAAACTCCTGCCTAAATGCATAAAATTCAACTTATTATTCTTGGAATTCATTTTTATATTCATTTAAAATGTTATTTATTCAATTTACGTTACTAAGGCTTAAACAATATGTAATATAACAAACATATATTATGTATAAAAACGTATTAACGATAATACGAGTATATTTATATTATATTTCAGAGTTAATAATATTCAAACAAATAAATATCATTATTTAAATTTTAAAGTAACCATCCGTTTTGTACATCATATATGCAAATACCTATATTAGAGTGATTTAAAAAAAAAATTATATTTCTTTAAACATTTTGAAATAAATAGTAAATACGAAA